TGGCTGCGGGCTGAGCTGGTGCGCCAAGGCGGACTGCGGCGTCTCCTGCTGTGTGGGGGTCTCGGTCTGCGGCTTCAATGGCGCTCCTGGCTGCGAGTTCGACTGGAGCTGCGACTGCATCGTGGCCGAGGCGTTCATATGTCCTGAGATGGTGCTCTGCAGGCCCGCAATCACGCGGTCCTGTGCCTCCTGCTTGGCCGCGATGTTCTGGGGGAGCTGGAGCGTCTCCTCTGAGTTTCCTGCGTCGTCCGAGCTCGCCGCCCCCTCGATCATCGGGCACTTGGCTGGAGCCTGACTCGAGTCCTTGCGCTTCTGAGCTCTCGCCTGGCGAGCGTGCTCCTCCACGTCCTCCATCGCGGCGTCGGGCTGCTCCTCCTTGCTCATGTAGGCCTCCTCTGCTGCTCGACGGTCGCGAGCCGCTGGCCAGGGCTGGGGGGGCTGGCACGACTTCGCCCTGGAACGACCTGGGAGGCGGGGCTGGCGCGTTGACCGGGGCTTGCCAGTCCTGCGAGGGGCCCCCATACTGGGCGGAACCCTGGCCGCACAAGGTGCACGCTGCCGTCGAGCGCTTGCAGACGCACGAGACGTCGATCCTCGGCTTGCCTTTCTCGGGCTCGACCTCCCGGCAGGCGACCCGCATAGTGCAGGACGAGCAGACCCGCCACTGTCCATGCCCATTGCATCCGTGCTGGACGCTGGTGGGCAGGTGTCGACACGCGTAGAACGCGTCCGGGATCACCCGCAGGCGCTTGACCAGATTCGTGGGCCAGAACCTTTTGTTGGGCATCGTGCGCCCGAACTCGTCGGCAAGCTTGTTGAGCCAGAACATTATGCTGCCCACGATGGCAGCCCAATCCTTCTCCTTGCGGTTCAGGTTGGACGGGGCCTGCGCCCCCGTGACAGCGTGCGTCCAGGTGGAGCTCGGGTCCATCAGGTGGTCGACCAGAGTCGATGGTCGCTGAGCACGACGCTGCGCCTCGGTCAGCTGCTTCTTCATTCTCTCTGGCGGTTGGCCGGCATTGGCGCTGCCGACCGACGGTGCACTTGGCATCTCTGAACTGCAGCGAGCCTCTCGGCCGGGGCTCTCGCCGCGGGCTGACTTCGCTTCTCTCTGAGGCTCGAAGACTCGAGCCAAACCGCTGTAGCAGAAGAACCGCCGCGATAAATATCACCGCCCACCTGTGGATGACATTCTTCTGTAAGGGGTCCCGCTCACCATCTCGTCGCGATATCTCCCCATGGCATCTCCTCGTCCCTGAGTGTCTGGATCCTTTAGCTGACGATCCAGGCTGCCCAAGCCCCTTTGCGACGCCGTCTTCGGAGCGATTCCCTGGATCTTCACTGGGCTCGCTGTCCCTTGTCGGCGCGCCAAAACCGCCGAAGGGCCCTCTGGTCCCCAGACGGACCCCCAGACCGAGCCCCAACCTCCCCCCGAGACCGTCGTAGCTGAGTGATTCGGCCCTGTGGGAGGAGGAAAAGTGGAAGAGGTGAGAGGGGGGGTCGACGATCGTCGATGCCTTGCATGCCCCAACAGCGCTGTCGCGCTGAAAATCGCTTTCCTTAAGGCCAGGGCGCCGCGGAAACAGAGAGGCTGGACACCCAAAGTTCCTGGGGGATTGGAACTCGTCTTTTCGAATTGTCCCGTGGCCGCTGGGCATCCCCCTCATGGGGGTCTCCACTCCCAGGCGCCTCAAAGTCATGACACTGGTGTCGAGATCTATCTTGGAACCTAGCATCTCCTGAAGGCCTACTGGAAGCAACGGGGGCACTTCTTCCTGCAAAACGTCTAGCTCTACTATGCCCTCTTTGCCCTGGATTCCGGTCGGGACCAGGGCCGCGTGCAAAACCCTAGTGCCACCTCCTACTCCTCTGGCATTCTTGCTCCTAGGCTCTACCAAAGGGATCTCGAGGCTTATTTTCTTCAGCCTCTGGGGGTGTCGCTCGAGCGCCTGGGCCCCAATCAGGCCCTGGCCGGCGGCTGCGTCTACTGCTGCCTCCCCGGCCTCAACCGTGAGCAGCGCCATCGCCTGCGCGGCCCGGCCCCTCTCGATCTGCTCCGTCTCCGACGCGATAGGGTCCAGCACGTTCGCGAAGACGAAGCCCGCGACGTTCGCGACCCCTCCTGCGGTTGCACTGGCACTAGGACTCTGGCCATTCCGCTTGGGACACTCACGCGCCCAGTGGCCCTTCTCGTTGCACTTCCGACACCTGGTCTTCTTGGTGAGTTCCGGAAGCGGGAGTCTTGTCTTCCTCTGGCGAAAGGTGCCATCCCCGCCCCGGTGACCTCTATTCCCTCGTAAAGTCGACACTTTGACCGTCTCCTTCGTCCTGTCGAAGAACTTGCGATCGACCTTCATATTTCGTTTGAGGCCCCTGTTCTGCTTCCACGTCTTACGTCTGTCCTCCTGCATGCTAGCGAACGCCGCCGGCAGCTCGTCATCGTGCAGGTTCAGGTTCTCGATGGCCAAATAGATCTCGGCTCGCCCTCGGTGTTGAGGGTTGATGCGTCGTCGTAGTCTACTATCGAGTCGTCGTCGTCGTCATCGTCCACGGAGTAGCTGGGCTCATTATTCGTCCATTGTGATGTCCACGATGACGCAGCTCCTCGATCTGTGTGGTACGTACGTGCCCTCTGGTGGGCAAGGTGCTCCTTCCTCGTCACGTCCATCTCTCGGATGGCTTCGAGGGCGTCCGGGTACGAGTCCTTCGTGGCCATGGGAACCTTCATCAGCTGCTGGCCTCGCCCGTCCAGTCCCACGCCCTCCTCTAATAATATAAACGTCCAGTCTTCTGGCACGGGCAATGCCAATGTGCCGACTTTGTCGAAGGCCAAGTCTATCCTTGCGGCGTCCTCCGTCGAGCCCTCGCCTTGGCGCCTCTGGAAGGAGAAGAGGCACTCCCTCGCGGCCTTGCGCTTCTCATCCCCGACGCGCTCACCGCTCAGGAGGTCCAGGCGGTCGGTCACCTTCTGCGCGCCCTCCCACGACATGAAGACGTCGACTGGGATGTCCTCCAGCTTCCTCTGGAGGTCCATGGGCAACACCTTCAGAATGCGATCGGCGTGCTTGGTTTCTCCAACATCCGTGCTCTGGCGCCACCTCATGATCTTGCGTCGCCATAGCTTGTACTCTGGCCATCCTGCCCACGGCTCGGGGTCCGCGACGTTGCGGCCCCTCTCTTTCCAGCTCCAGCCGCCATCTTTGGAGTCATCCCACTTCCAGTTGCCGTCATTCTGGTTCTCGCTCCAACTCCAGCGGCTATGCCACCAGCGATCGTTGTCAGCCCGCTCGGGGGCCCTGCTGGACGCAGAGCCGGCTGCGGCTCTGTCCCTGGCCCACGGGTCTGCTCCGTCTCGCTGCCATTCGTCCTCTCGGTGTGCATTGCCCTCGGCTCGCCTGTCGTCCGCCTCGGGCTCTGGACTAGGCTGTTGAGCTTGGCTACGCACGTAGGTGAGGATCTGCATCAGCTGCGCTTCCGAAAGCGGGCTCGAGATGCGGTATTGCTCCGCAATCGGCTCTGGTTACCGAGCACTCTCGAGCAGGCCTCGTAGTTGCTCATCTGAAAGCCTGATGCGTCCGTCCTCGTCTGCCCACTGTCTCGCTGTCCCAATAGCCGTCGCTACCGGCCCATGGCCGCTCTGCCCGGATCCTCGGGATTGGTTATCAGCAATCTCCTCGTCCGCCGGCATCGGCCCGCAGAAAGTCGACAGAGCGCCGGTCGTACCGACGCTCCGCCACCACTGTCTCCCCACGATGTCAGCACAGGATGTATTGCTGCCCACTTCCGAGCCCCTTCCGCGCAGAATGGTCACCAGCAAGAAATATCAGGGATGGGGAAGTAGAATGGGATGTAGGATGACTAGATGGGATTGACAGGGGAGGGGCTGTGAAGTACGTACGGCTTGAGCCAAAATGGGCACGGACATCGCACCCCTCTCTGTATGTTCAAGCACATAGGCAAACGTTGGGGGACACATCTGCGAACTAATGAGCTGCAGGCGCTCATTCCCACACGTGTTACATGTTCCCAACTAGCTACACGGATGGCCCGCGGTTCGTTTCCAAAACGTGCTTCTCGGTGCTTCACTTTCAAGGTTTCGATTGCTACCAGGTGCGCGAATCGAGGACGGTCTGCTCTTGAACATGTAGCTCTCGCTCCCAAACTCATTATGCTTTAAACCCAAAGAGGGGGCTTTTCTTCTTGGAACAACTACACGAATGGAGGGTGGCTCCATTTCACATTCAAATGCCCGCCTTCGCGCCTCACACTTTTGTGAGAGGCGGCGTGCATGCCCGAAGCATCGAAGAGCAGTTGACAACTGTAATAGTGGTAATGGTCATTGTTTTTGTAGTCGTGATCGTAGTTCTCGTAGCTCCCGTATGCTTCATATTGCCACACTCGGCCAGCCATACCGACTTGGCCACCGTTGATATGGGGAGGGCGGGATGCGAGGTTATAGATCGGAGGGACGGGAAAGATGACACACTGTGTCTGCCAAAACTCTACGGCTACCTTCCGGGCTAGCCGTTGCACATATTTTCTCTTTTGTATTTCGTTCACTCCGTCTGGTGTACCCCTCTTTCTTTCGATGTGATCATGTGCATGATTATGGTTATGTGATTCGTTGCTCCTCCTCCTCCGCTCGATCGTACGGTCGGTTACTCTTTGCCTTACGTGGCACTACGTCTGCTCTTGACCTCAATACCTGGCCTTTGTCTGCACCAACCTGCGACCGTAATTTGTCGCCAAGGTGACCTAAGTCGGCTCGCTCCAATTTTTCCCCACAAGAGCGCCACAGGCAATGCTGCTCACGCTTGCCCAACGCGGCGAGCAGGATGAGCAAGGGGGCGAGGAGGATGAGGAGGAGCGGAGGGGTGAGGAGAACGAGGAGGAGTGGAAGAGCGATAAGGAGGAGGGGATTCGTAGAGCGCACGGGCGAGGACGAGCACGACGAGGCCAGGGGAAACATCGGCTTCAAATGGAGGTCTCCGCCCGCGCGCCTCGCCCCACTGCTGCCACTCCTGCCACGAGGTGTCCTCCTTCAGGGCCGCGGGGGGGGGGTGGGGGGCACCGCCGACCGCCGAAAGGAGTGCGGGGCCGCCGCCGCGGAGCGAAAGAGAGCGGCACCCTCGTCGGAGCTCAGCGGGGAACTCTCGCGCGAGGGAGCGGGGGGTGGCAAGAAGGATGAAATAACAGCCCCCCCAGAGGCCCCCAGGGGCCCCCAAGAGGCCCCCAGAGGCCTCCAGAGGCTCCAAAACTTCCCCCAAGAGGCCTCAACACCGGCTCCAAGAAGCCTCCGAGAGGCTCCCCCTGAGATCCCAACGAACATCCACTAGACTTATAACCCACAACCCAGCCACGGTGGCGGGACTTACCGTAGGCAGCTGGATCCGCCGCCCCCTTTTGCTTTAGCAAAAGGGTGCCTGGCGTGCCGAACGATATGGCTTTTGGCCTTTGGTTCTTTTTCCAAAAGAACTCCCCCTGGGGCTCCGGCACGTCCCGCCGGCCACCCGGAAACTGTATCAGTCGATGCCTGAAACTGCCGTTCGCTCGGGACATCCTCAACAAATCGCGAAGATGGCCCAAGATGGCCTCCAAGTCCGCCCAAGATGGTCCAAGACGGCCTCCAAGACGGCCCAAGAGAGTCCAAGACGGCCCAAGAGGCCCCCCAGAGGCCTCCCAGACGGCCCAAGAGGCCTCCAAGAAGTCCTCCACGAGGGCCCGAAGAGACCGAAATTATTTATTTTCCGTAGGTTCTTGAAGGATTTTGGCATTCGCGCATTTTCGGCATTCCGACGGCCCCAGACGGCCCAAGAGGTCCCCAAGATCGCCCCAAGAGGCCCCCAAGAGGGCCCCATGACGGCCCAAGTGGCCTCCAAGATGGCCCCAAGAGGGCCCCAAGATGGCCCAAGAGGCCTCCAACAAACCCAAGATGGCCTCCAAGACGCCCAAGATGGCCTCCAAGACGGCCCCGAAGCGCCCCAAGAGGGCCCCCAGTCGGCCCAGAAAGGCCTCCCAAACGGCTCCCGACGGCGTCAGACGTGCCAGGTACCCACCAAGATGGCCGAAGTTGGCTCGAGAGGCCCCCAAGAGGGCCCACACCTACATTCGCACCCGCACCCGCACCCGCACCCGCACCCCTCCCCAACCCTCCCCCCCCCCTCCCCTCCCACCTTCCTCACCCCCCCCCGCCCCCGCCCGCCCCCGCCCCCGCACACCCCCCCCCCCTTGCCCCCTTCCCCCCCTTCCTCTCCCCCCCCCCCCCGCCCGCCGGCACCCGCACCGCACCCGCACCCGCACCCCCCCCCCCACACACACACACCTTCCCCCCCCCCCAGCAAACACACACACATGCACACACACAACACACACACACACACACGCGCACAACACACACGCACACAACGCACACACGCACACACCAACACACCCACACACCACACATCCACATACAAACACACACACACACACACACCCACCCAGCCCCACCCAACCCCACCCACCCCCACCCAGCCCAACCCACCCACACCCACACCCAGCCCCACCCAGCCAGCCCGCACCCAGCCCCACCCAGCCAGCCCGCGCCCAACCCACACCCAACCCACGCAGCCCCACCCAACCACATCATTGTTCCTTATTATTGTATACCCCCACCTACCTCGTATTCCGGCCGATAGCAACCCAATCCGGGACCTCCCGTCCAGACTGTAAACACTCAATACAAAGTAGCAAATTTTCTTCTCAACATCGTCTTTCTTGTCGTCGACGATGCGAAAAAGCGTGGCAGGAATTGGACGCGGCGCACATCGCGCGCGGCAGTCAATCTGGGCCCGCCCACCCTGACTGTAAACAATCAATACAAAGTCTGTTTTTCCTCTCAGCATTGCCTGCCTTGTCGCCGACGGTGCGAAATATGTGTCAAGAACGGGACGCGGCGCGCATCGCGCGCGGACGTCCATGCGGGCCGCGGGCCCTCCCATCCTGACTAGTGCTACTAGTACCATTGCTACGACGACTACTACTACTACTACTACTACTACTACTACTACTACTCCTGCTACTACTTGTTCTGCAAATTGTAATACCAATGGCATTACTACTAGTCGAGCAGTAGTACAAGTATTTCCAGTACTTCTACTTCCATCGTGCTACTACTCTGTACTACTACTCGTACGAGTACTTGTACTACTTGTAGTACTTCTGCTTCTACGATTCGTATTATTACTCGTGCTACTAGTACGACTACCGATTCGTATCCCCACTGCTACTACTACTACGACTACTACTACTACTACTACTACTACTGCTACTACTACGGCTACTACTACTACTACTACTACTACTACTACTACTACTACTACTACTACTACTACTACTACTACACTAACTGCTAACTACTAAGTACTCACTTACTGCTACGACTACGACTTCACACGACACCCATACGTCATCGACTACTACTACTACTACTACTACTACTACACTACTACTACGACTACCACTACCACTACCACTCCCACTACCAAACTATAGTACTACTACTCCTACTATTAGTAGTAGTAGTAGTAGTAGTAGTAGTAACAGTAGTAGTAGTAGTAGTAGTAGTAGTAGTAGTAGTAGTAGTAGTAGTAGTAGTAGTAATCGTAGTAATAGTGGAAGTAGTAGTAGTAGTAGTAGTAGTAGTAGTAGTAGTAGTAGTAGTAGCAGTAGTAGTAGCAGTGGTAGTAGTAGTTAGTCGTAGTAGTTGTAGTATAGTAGTAGTATGAGTAGCTACTACTCCTCCTAATACTATTATACTACTATACTAATACTACTACATTACTACTACTACTACGACTACTACTACTATATAGACTACTACTACTCTACTACGACGACTACTACACTACTACTACTACTACTTTTCTACACTACTACTACTACTACTACTAATACTTTACTACTACGGCTACTACTACCTATACTTACTACTTACTACTACTACTACTACTACTACTACTACTACTTACTACTACTACTACTACTACTACTACTACTACTACTACTACTACTACTACTACTACTACTACTACTACTACGACTACTACGACTACTACGATTACTACTACTACTACCACGACTACGACTACGACTACGACTAGTACGACTAGTACGACTACTACGACTACTACGACTACTACGACTGCTACTACGACTACTACCACTACTACTCCTACCACTACGCGCCAGCACCCAATTGCGCCAACATTTTTTTATGTTGTGGGAAGGAGGAACGTGTCCGTTGTTCCTTTCAACATGGCCAGTCTTGTCGTCGACGATGCGAAATGCGTGGCGGGAATGGGACGCGGCGCGCATCCCGCGCGGACGTCAATGCCGTGTCCTGCGGTATCCTCCGCTCGCAGTTAAATGCCCGCGCAGCCCGCAGTTGTGCGATCACTGTTTCTTATGGTGTGGGGGGGCGGGTGGGAATGGGCATGCCATGCTTGACTCGCTCGAGCTGGCTAGCTTGACCCGCACCCACGCCCACACCCACACCCACACAAACACCCACACCTGCACCCGCACCCGCGCCCGCACCCGCACCCGCACCGACACCGACACCCGCACCCATACCCGCACCCGCACCCACATCCTTGTTCCTTATGACTATATACCCCCACCTGCCTCGTATTCCGGCCGATAGCAACCCAATCCGGGACCTCCCATCCAGACTGTAAGCAATCAGTACAAAGTGGCCGTTTCCTTCTCAACATCGTCGTTCTTGTCGTCGACGATGCGAAACACGTGGCAGGAGTGGGACGCGGCGCACATCGCGCGCGGCAGTCAATCTGGGTCCGCCCATCCTGACTGTAAACAATCAATACAAAATCTTCGTTTTTTCCTCTCAGAATGGCCTGCCTTGTCGCCGACGGTGCGAAATATGTGGCAACACTGGGACGCGGCGCACATATGGGACGCGGCGCACATCGCGCGCGGCCGTCAATCTGGGCCCGCCCATCCTGACTGTAAAAAATCAATACAAGGTCTTCGTGTTTTTCCTCTCAGCATGGCCTGCCTTGTCGCCGACGATGCGAAATATGTGGCAGGAATGGGACGCGGCGCGCATCGCGCGCGGACGTCCATGCGGGCCGCGGGCCCTCCCATCCTGACGGTAAAGAACAATACAGAGTTGCCGTTTTTGCTTTCATCATGGCCTGTCTTGTCGTCGACGATGCGAAATGCGTGGCAGGAATGGGGCGCGGCGCACATGGCGCGCGGATTTCTGGGGCAACCCCAAGGCGGGAGGGACCACCTTACTTGTCAGAAACAATGCCATGCTGATTTTCCCTGCCCACGTAGCTGTTCTTGTCGTCCACCCCGCAAAAGTGCATGGCAAGAATTGGGCGCGGCACGCCCCCCCCCCCCGCTCGAAGTGAATGAAATGACCTTCTCGCTTGGGCGCCGAGCGAAATTTTATCAAAGTTGCGCTCCCGCTTTGGCTCGGCGCACGTCTTTAGCTCGCCAATTCATTGGGCGCCGGGGCGTTCCAGGAGGCCCTGGGGTGACGAATGCCTAAAAGGTTTTTGCTTGTTCAGGCTCTTGGAGGGCCTCCTGAGGCTCCCCGCGGCTTCTTGGCGCTACGGCCGTCTGGAGGCCATCTTGGGCGTCTTGGAACGATCTTTCGGCGACTCAGGGCTACTACTACTACTACTACTACTACTACTACTACTACTACTACTACTACTACTACTACTACTACTACTACTACTACTACTACTACTACTACTACTACTACTACTACTACTACTACTACTACTACTACTACTACTACTACTACTACTACTACTACTACTACTACTACTACTACTACTACTACTACTACTACTACTACTACTACTACTACTACTACTACTACTACTACTACTACTACTACTACTACTACTACTACCACTAAGCGCCAGCACCCAGTCGCGCCAGCATTGTTTCTTATGTTGTGGGAGGGTGGAACGTGGCCGTTGTTCCTCTCAACATGGCCAGCCTTGCCGTCGACGATGCGAAATGCGTGGCGGATATGGGACGCGGCGCACATCCCGCGCTGACGTCAATGCGGTGTCCTGGGGTATCCTCCACTCGCACTGAAATGCCCGCGCAGCCCCCAGTTGTGCCATCACTGTTTCTTATGTTGTGGGAGGGCGGGTGGGAATGGGCATGCCATGCTTGACTCGCTCGAGCTGGCTAGCTTGACACCCACACCCGCACCCACACCCACATCCACACCCAGACCCACACTCCACCCACACCCGCACCCGCACCCGCACCCGCACCCCCCCACCCCCTCCCCCCCCCACCCACACACACAAAACACACACAGACGCACACACACACACACATCCACACCCACACCCGCACCCACACGCACGCGCACACGCACACGCACAACACACACGCACACGCGCACGCACAACGCGCACGCACAAACGCACAACGCACAGCGCACAACGCAGTACGCACAACGCACAATGCACAACGCACAACGTTCAACACACACCACACACCACACAACGCACAACGCACAACGCACAACGCACAACGCACAACACACAACACACAACGCACAACACACAGCACACATCGCACACCACAACACAGACAACACACAACGCACAACACACAGCACAACACACCACACACAACCACGCAGCCACACAACCCACAACCACACAACATACAACACACAAAACACAAAAACACACAACACACAAACACACAAACACAAACACACACACACACACAGACACACACACAAACACACACAAACACACAAACACACACATCACACACACCACACACACCACACACACACACCACACACATCACACACACACATGCCACACACACACACACACATACCACACACACATGGCGCCCACGGAATTCCAACCAGAGAACTGTAGGGTTCGCATGGTAGGGGTGCCTGTTGTGACGTAGCTCGTGGCAGGGGAGGGGCGGGAGCTGGAGACAGGAGTAAGGGAACACGATGCCAACACCAGGAGCAAGAGCCAGGCAGTCAAGGTCCTGCCTGGCGGTGTGGCCCCCCTTGCTTTGCGGCGTCCTGCTCGAGACGCCTCCGTCCCCCAGCTCTGGGGGGAGGCATCGTGGACCTCGCGGCTGGAGGTGGCCCTCTGGTGGTGGTGGTGTCGCTTCTCCTTCCCCCGATGGAGAAATGGAGGGAGGGAGGGAAGGGAGGGGATAGGGGAGAGGACGGGAGCAGAGGGAACAAGAGGGGGGGGGGGGGGGGCCGTGCCTCGTCGTGCGACTTGCGGTGCTGCCCCTATGTGTAGAGCGGCGGTCAGGAGTCCACGATGCTGCCGAGCACCGCGCTCGCGAGCGGCCCACAGACTGTGTCACAAGATGATGGCCCATCAGACGTGCACACTCAAGCTACTGGCCCACGGGGCGCTGAATTAGGAGCGAACCCCCTTCTTGGCCCCTCCACCCCAAGCGCCTGGGTGCACGAGGAGCGCTAGAGGAACAACCATCGAAAGTCATCAAAAATAGCGAGACCATTCCGAAACGGAACTGGTTCTTCCATCGTTTTGATGATATTTGGGCGCTTGCCGCAAAATCTGCCGCTACACATTCTGCTGGAGATGCTGTGGCCGGCGTTCCAGTGGGACGCGCCGGCTTCGGCCAGATCCTCGCGCCCCCCTCTTCGTATCCCCGAGAGCCGCCGACGTCGAGCACTTCGAGCAGCTTGCACCCAGCTGCGAGGAGGCCTTGCACCTGCCGCCTAGCCGCGATCCCTCTTGGAGCCCTTGCCATCGTTTGGACGTTCCTTCCTCGTGCATTTCTCGGTTTCCTGCTTTTCGTTTCCTCGCCAGATGATTTAGGATGCTGATCGATGGCCCTCGCCGAGACAAAATGCACACGCCCGAGCGATGCCAGGAGCCCCGCCCGGAGCCGACGCCGTCGGCCCAAGACGACGACGCCGACGACCGTCCCGACGAGGTCCTTGTGGCTGGAGCCGCCCCCGGTGGACCAGTGCTCTTGTTTGCCGGCGGGTGTCGACCAGTCTACCTGGAAAAGCGGCTTGTTCGCGCCGCACTGGCGGCACGTGCTGCGGTTCGAGAACTGCAGCTCGTTGCAGCTATGACATCTCGGGCGAAGAGCAGGAAGAGGCGGAGGAGCATGAGGAGCAGGGCATGTACGGAGAGGGACTTCACTGCCTGGCTGGCGCATACTCTGTGCCCTTGCGGGCCCACGGTCTTTTTCAATATCTTCATGCCTCTCTTTTTGTCGCTGCGCCAGCCAGGTGTTATTATCTTATTCCTTTAGGCCTCGCACTGTCTGTTTTTCACGACGCAACAAACTCTCGCTTAAAATATGGCCAACGTCAAAAACGAGGACCAGGAGGAGGAGGAGGCGGCGGAGGAGCAGGAGGAGCAGGATGAGGCGGCGGAGGAGCAGTTAGTTGTATGAAGAACGGGTGGTAAGGACGCAAGGCCCTTGGAAGCCGAAACTGGGATCTTCTGGGCGGCGGGCGACCAGTGGAACCAGCGAAATCCGGGTCGCAGAGGCAAGGACACAATGGTATCCTAGATGAAGGCGCGCGTCCTTACACTAGGCGCGTTGACTGTATGACATCTCGTTGTGAGAGGAGCAAGAAGAGGAGGCGGAGGAAGAGAAGCAGAAGGAGGATTCTGCCGTCTCGTCGCTCCCCTCCTCTCCCCCACTCTTAGAAGACGCCCAAGGACACTTTTTTGGGGAGTGGGGGGCTGTGGCTCCCACTCCAGCAACATATCTGGGCGACAACGTCTCCGACTCCTGACTCTGGCTCCTATCCCCCTGCGTTTCCGGCTCCGACTCAAGTATCAGGTCTGGACGACAACGTCGCCGTCTCCGACTCCGTCACCTATCCCCGCGACTCCCGCTCCGACTCCAGCACAGGGTCCGATCGGCAGCGTCTCCGACTCCAACTCCTGTCCGCACGATTCCGGCTCCGACTCCAGCACTACCCGGACGACATCGTCGCCGTTCCTGACTCCGGCTCGTATCCCCACGACTCCGGCTGCGACTCCAGCACAAGTCTGGCTGACAGCGTCTCTGGGTTCAGCTGCTATCCACACGACTCCGGCTCCGACTCCTGCACCAGGTCCGGACGACAGTGTCGCCGTCTCCGACTCCGCCTGCACCAGCGCCGACGTCAGCACCGACTTCAGCACCAACGTCAGCACCTACGTCGGCACCGACGCCAGCGTGTACGGCAGCACTGGCCAGCACCAACGCTGGCGCCTACGCCGCACAAGCATCGCCACCAACATTGCCGACGTCAGCGCCGACGCCTGCACCGACCTCGGCGCCTCCACCAGTATCTGAGGTACGCCAAGACGCCAACTACAGTGCGAGGCGCTGTGCCTCCTTGGATTCCCGAGGCGCTGTACCCCCTTGGATTCCCGAGGCGCTGTACCACCTTGAATTCCCGAGGCGCAGTTTACCCTTGATTTCCGAGGCGATGTACCCCCTTGAATTCCCGACTCTGGTTCATTGCAAGCTTCCCCGCGTGCCGGCGCATTCATTATCCGCCAGCACATCCCTCCGACTTCCCACCACCAGCTCCACCTACCAACCTCCAGACGCCACCAACCCCAGCACCTACACCAGCGCAGAAGCCAACACCGGCGCCAGCTCCTTCTCGACACATTCGCCAGCTCCGACACCAGCACCATCGTTGGCAGCAGCGCCTGGGCCTACGACGCCTGCACCAACGCCAGCGCCTGCACCTGACCAGCGCCGACGTCAGCACCGACTCCAGCACCAACGCCGGCGCCTACGTCAGCACCGACGCCAGCGCGTACGCCAGCACTGACACCAGCACAAACGCCAGCGCCAACGCCGCACAAGCGCGGGCACAAACATTGCCGACATCAGCACCGACGCCGGCACCAGTCTCGGCGCCTACACCAGCATCTGAGGCATGCCAAGACGCCATCTACAGTGCGAGGCCTGGTCGACAGCGTCTGTGTCTCCGACTCTGGCTCTTATCCCCGCGACCTGAAGGCTGCCTGTCTGTAGTGCGCCTTGTGGCGAGCCTCTCTGGGTATGTTCTTCTGCTTCCTCTCTCTCCCCCCGTTCTTTGCACGTGCTCCGCTAATTGGAGTTTTCCGATGTTTGCATCTGGGGGCCAGCTGGTTCGCACCCGGCCGCCCGACCCAGTGAGCCGCACTCTTTGGGGGCCGTTCCTGGCTCGAGCGATCGCTGCGCTCTAGCGGCCTGGTCGGGCGATGGGCGCCACGACCCATTTTTCATGTTACCACACATGTCCTTCATTCGACTTGCGTAGCTTTCTGCCCAGTTTTTTCCGCCCCTTCGTCTCCCGTCGTCCTCTCTCTCTCTCTCTCTTCTCCTCTCTCTTTCGCCGCGTGACTGCACGTGTTCCACTGATGATTTGGGCGTGGGCCGTATCTGGATGCCGCTGCGGGGCAGGCGATCCGCGCTTCTTAATACCGTTTCTGGATTTCAATTGGCCTGACGTTCTCGTCTCCCGTCCCCCTGCTACTGTGCGCTGCTTGCCGTGCTCTCCTTCCTTTCTGCTCTGCTGCCTCCTCTCTCGCTCGCTTCCCTGCCTCTCTCCCTGCTGCTCCTGCCTCTTCCTCTTTCCTCCCTGCCGCCTGCTTCCCTTTCTCTGCTGGTACTGCTGCTGTCCATGCGACCCGCTGTCTCTATAAAGCTTTTTCGGAACTATAGCTCCATGGAGTGGAGGTGCGGTTCTTGACGGCTGGGTCTTCCAGTTTTGTCCCTCCCCAGCTTGATGCATCGGCGACTGCGCTCTTCACATGGCAAGCTAAGGGACCACACGGTTGCCTCTGGCGATGCGTTGAAGGCGCCCAAGGACACGCAAATAAACAGGCACGAATCCCATGAGTCCCCATAGTTTCCCATAGTTTCTGGAGCTTCGTGTTCCCCTCCACTTCCCAAATGTTCCAACATTCCTCCTCGGAATCGACGATTCATTGTGTCTGTTCTTCTTTCCCCTCCTGGCTCTTCTATTACAGGCTCCTGACCAAGAAACAATCATTGCCCTCCCCAAGCCAAGCCCCCTCCTCGTGCCCAGGCCAGGGATAGCGGATTTCTTGGATCTGCGCTGGGAGTGGCGACGCGCGGGGAGCACCCAAGGCTTCGGGGGGCCCCTTCCGGGCCCCAGATCCGGGCCGAAGTCGGTGCGTCCTTCCGAAGCGCCGACCACGCCCCTCCCCCGTCCACCCCACCGGCTTCGGCGGCGAACCTGAAAAGGGGGGGGGACCCTTCGGGTGCGAGGTGATGGTTTGTTTCCGGAGTTTTCGTGGGGTCCCAGCGGTCTTCTGGCCTCGGGGTGCGTTCCAGCGACTGCGCCTCGCCGAGAGCGCTCCAGGGTGCCCGGATCGCCCCGAGCGGCCGCCAGAGAGACCCGAGCTGCGACCCGCAAGCCAAACGCGTCGGCGAGCAGAGGGAGGAAGCGAGAAGGTGCCTCCTCCTCTCAGAGCTCTCTCCACCCTCCTCCTCCTCCTCTGCATCCTCCTCCATGTCTTTTCCTTATAAATAACTTCTCCCTGTCGCACCCCGAAGCCAATTTTTAGGGCGGGCCGGGCGTTTCGCCTGAGACTTCCTCTATGACCCTGAAGCGGGTCGTTTTCAAAATGTGGTTCTCGCCTTAGAGCCGCGTGCATTCGTTTCAAACAATTGCACGAGTTTCACGGAATAGGGGGCGGGCCGTTTTCAAAATGTGGCTCTCGCCTTAGCGCCGCGTGCATTCTTTCTCAAACAATTGCAAGAAGTTCGCGGAATAGGGGGCGGAGCGCCGCGTACACTCGCTTTAAACATTCGCAAGAGTTTCACGGACTGAGGGCGGCTCTTTTTCAAAATGTGGCTCTCGCCTTAGCACCTCAAACATTCGTTTTACAATTCGAAGATGTTCACGGATTCCCATGATCAGCGTACCAGAATTTGTTTCTGGAAGGGCTCAAGATTAGGAGGGCGCAACAGTTACGTTGATCCGCGGTGTTAAAGTCCCAAGAATGGCGTTCTGGCGCTATTCAGGATCGCAAGTACGTAACATTCAGCTTGATCCGTGGCGTCCGAATCCCGAGAACAATGTTTTGGCATGCTTCTGGGTCTTCAGACGGATGTCTTCCTACGGGGCAGCTCCCTCAGAGGAAATGCACCGTTTTAGGGGCCTGTGAGGAGGGAGCCTGGAGGGAGGGTCTACTCCAACATTGTTCATGACTCTTGGGCTTACACTGGTCCTCCTCCTCCTCCTCATCCCTCTCCCCCTCCTGCCCCTCCTCCCCCCTCTCCTCCTCCTCCTCTTCCTCCTCCTCCTCCTCCTCCTTCTCCTCCTCTTCCTCCTCCTCCCCCTCCTCCTCCTCCTCCTTCTTCTCGGGCCTCGGGCCTTCGTGAGAAGTATTCTGAGTCTGCCCCGGATCTGCAGGAAACTCGCTCAGGATGCCAGAGGGCTTCCGGGAAGCCCCGCCGCCTTCTGAGAGGGCCTGCCCCATCTCGCTTCCCCCCCGGGCGCGCCTCCGAGTGGTGGAAGCTGGCAAGTGTTTAGGTCAACGCCCATTTCATACATGATGCCGGGCGCGCGCCACATAGACCGTAATCCGATACATCTGTCTCTCTCTCTCTCTCTCTCTCTCTCTCTATATATATATATATCAACGTGAATGTGTTCCGAGACACCGTGGTCAAACACGATGGCGCTATATCGCAAGGTAAGCACTCCTGACATTCCACTCGACCAGTGCAAGTTTCAATCAGAAGGCATGCTGTGGTACGCCTCTGTCTCCTGGAGACCTTGTGGCGCCGCTGACCTGTTACCAACTTCTCTTGCCACGTTGATGCGTTGAGGCGCTCCCTGTGCCAACGGCGCCGGGGCTGCGGATCCCACAACAACCAACGGCGCCGGGGCTGGCGTACATGCTGGGAAGGTACCTCATGGCGTGGACTTTCCAGTAGAGGCGGCGTTCTAGGGAAGGTGATGGACACACCGCACTTACAATTCTCCGAGATCCGGAACCTTCCGCAAGGCTCTGCGAAACAAACCCAGAAGAACCTGCGAAGACCCACAAGTCTCCCCTTATCGATGGCCCCCTTTCGAGGTTCACCCCTGAGATCCGACGTTGCGATAAAATTGCAACATCAGGAGCACCAGACTCCATCTCTCTGCGTCATTTTTCGAGCTGGATCGATCTGTGAGGGTCCCGGGGCCCGAAGTTGGGCGAAAACGCCCGGTGTGAAAAAATGCATCGCTACGATCTCAGGGACAACGCAATATGAGGACGAACGTTTCTCCGCCCCAAGGTGCCTCCAGTCACCCGGATGCATCTGCGGGGCGGTGTTGTCGTCGTAGTCGTCCTCCTCTGGGGGCCACTCCTCCCTGGGAGGCCTCTGGCCGATCTCGCACTTCCTGCCAGGTGGAGGGGTCGGCAGCAGCGGGCGGAGAAGTCCGAAGCAGAGAGGGTCGTCTGTCTGCTCTGCTTACGACGAAGCCAGGACGAAGATAGCATCTGGGGAAGATAAATCGAGAATCTCGGAGATCCGACGGTTCTGGTCGATGTCGTGGGCGCCGCCTTCCCAAAGCGTTCCGGATCGCTCCGAGGGCGTTCCGGAACGCTCTAGAACGGATTGATCCCCGTCCCTAGCCCCGTCCAACATCTGTCTGCTTCGCTGCCCCACGCGTCGAGTGAGATATCATGGGCGGAAGACAACAGCAACAAAAGCAGCACAGTCGGACCTAGGCAAGAAAAACATCCCTCAAGAACATGAGACCCTCCGCCAGCCAAAACATACAGAACATCCAAAGGTATCCTCCCCCAGGATGCACAAGGACATCCAACCAACAGGAAGAACACTAGGGTACCCTCCCCGAACCGACCTCGATCTTACACCTCGGTACGACTGTAGCAGCAACGGCACCATGCTCCTGCATATCTTATTCCGGCCAAAGTTGGTGAACATGCAGTTCTTGCACTCCCAGTCTGGCGGGTGCCCTTTTCTCCAATTCCTCTTCCAAGCTTCCTTCTGGGCCAACTTCTTCTCAGATAACTTTTTAGGCCCGATCTGAACCCGTTTGCCGGAACCAATATAAACCATATTTCTGGCCCGCACGTCGTTGCCCGATTTGCCACCGAGGTAGATCTCGAATTCCACGAGGTCCTGTGGATCAAGATCGCTGCTCCGACCGCAGCTTGGATGACTCAAACACATGCAAGTTTGGTCCGAGGGAGCCTGAGGCGAAACACACAACCAGGCACCAACACACTAAACAAAGAAGATGCCTCGCCTGCCCATGCCCACACATTTCAGGACCTTCTCCTCCTCGTTTGGCAAGAGAAAGCGTGCACACATGTCAGTAACACCCTAGGATGAAACAATCTCAATTCGCTTCGCTCTGCTCAGCAATCTTCTACCACCCCCTAAACGTGCACCCGCCACACGCCCTACCTTGTTATTCCCCGAACGTTCATTCACCTTCCCGCGTTTCGATTTGTGCAATTGACCCGAACTGGAAACCGGATGGAAAACAGGATGTAACACAGGGAGTCTGGATGGCTGCTAAGGACATCAACGTTCTGTCGATTTGGATCCTTGAAACGGGAAGGATCTCGCGTGCGGCCTCACGCGTAGCATGGGTGCGCGCGCGTGTGTGTGTGTGTGTGTGTGTGTGTGTGTGTGTGTGTGTGTGTGTGTGTGCGTGCGTGCGTGTGTGTGTGTGTGTGTGTCTATCTCTATCTGTCTCTCCCCATCCAAGAAGGCGAATCAGATGTGTGACCTTCGCGCCCGCGTTGCTAACTATTCGCGCAACCGTAGTTTCTTCTTCTCCCGAGTCAGAACGCGTCCTCCCGCTCGAATTCGACTTCCGCCATATCTGGGCTCTCGGTGATGTGGAAGAACACCTGTCCTTTAAAATGCTCAGAGGCGCAGAAGCCCCAGCTCTGCTTCTTCACGAGCTGCCACTGCGACCTCACGATGCCCTCTATACGCTGACCAACTAAATCACGTGGTTCTGGTTTCGCAGAGTCAAACTGATCTTCCGTCTCGCCAGATTCCATCTCCATCACCTCCAGGACCAATCGGTATAGGCTATCCTTCTGAACTTCCCCACGTCATCACCCGATGCCGTACCGCTACCACCCCCGTCCGAATGTCCCTGCTTCCTCCGCTTCTCGTCCTTCGTTCGGGGAAGCATCGACCTCTCGTTCGCTCGTCTACACCTGCAGTTACAACACATCTGCCACCGTGCTACAAGATTGAACGAACGTTTTTATCCTGAAGTTCTGAATCCTCCTCAAGGTTAGCATGCTCGAAGGTCTCATACCCCCATTTCCACTCTTTCCTAGGGACGCTCCCGCGCACCTGGGAAATTCCGCGATGTCATGGGAGGGTGGTTCGAAATCTGGCACGCCCTTAGATGGCCCGAGCTCCGTCCTGAGGCGGCGGCGTGAATGGCAATGTGTGTTCCGCAAGTTCGTGTGGTGTCGACCCCGGCGGTGGTTCCAAACACCGCGGGGATCGTTCAACCTTGAAGGATCGACCGTTTCCGAAACGTCCGATCGTTCAACGTCGACCAATTCTGGATCGCCAGGCGTGTTCAACGTTGAACGCCCGCCGCGGGGTCGACACGACGCGAACCTACCGTAGATACCAACACGTCATTTCTGGCAAGAGACGGCGACGTGAATAGCAATGTGGGCAAAGACGGTGTCACGACCATTTTGTGTAGCGTAGCTAATTCTGTCGCGTGCAATGTGCATGCACTCCTTCTCACGTGTTGCTAGAACAACGCGCGCTTGGGTTCTAGTCACAGCCATTGCACGGCAATCGACCCCACCACTAATTTGGCTACGGTTGCCAAAACCGTTGCTGTAATGGCCGCGACCACGGACACTACCGCTTTCATCGCAACTATCGGTATCCAATCCTCCTCCTGCTGCTGCTGCTGCTGCTGCGGCTGCTCCCTCTCTCTCTCTCTCGCTCCCCAGGAGGGCCGCAAGCCCGCGGACTTCACGCGCGTCCGCCCACGCGTCGTCCGCGCCGCGCCGACGCGCGGCCGCCGCGACGGCACCTAGAAGCCAAGACCCCGCCAACCAGAGAAGAGGGAGGACGCCTCCAAAGGGCCTCAGAGGAGAGGGGAGGGGCAGGGCCCAGGAGCCAGAAAGGGCACTCCAGATGCCTCGAGGAGGAGGAGGGGGTGGGGGAGGCGCCTCCTGCTCCTCCTCTCCTCCTCCTCTTCCTCCTCCTCCGCTCCCTCGTACGCTTCGTTCGTGCATCTTAGGGACGGAGGGAGGAGTCTGGGAGGAACGGGGACCTGGAACCAAGGCGGTCTCCAAGGATCAACGTGTCACTCCGAGTCTTTCTGCTGACCTGCTGACGGCCCCTGCGCCAGGGGATCGGGGAGCCTCTCAGGCGGGCCCTCATGAGATGCCTCGCCGCAAGATCGCTTGGGAAAACACTGGGGGGTATCTTGCAGGTCGTTTTTTCCGGCTCTGGCAATCCCCTTGGATTTCCTCTTGTATTTGAGCCTCTGGGAGGCTCCTGGGGTCCAAAATATGGTGGCAAAACTCGAGATGACGGTGTTGGGGTTGCCTCTTGTCTCCTCGTGGTGCCTTCTCGGCTGCCTCAAGAATTCTCTTGGAGACCCTTTTGGGCCGCCTTGGGTTGTCTGGGGGTCCGCTGGGAGGCATTGCCGCCCGTCGCCACCGCAGAGGGGGTCCCGAGGATTCGCCGTGTTCCGTCCCGTTGCCGCCCGTTGCTGGTCGTTGCCGCCTGCTGGGGTGCCTCGAGGATGCACACTTGCGCTTCGCAGAACCACCGCAGAGACGCTTGCACACCACGCAGCTTACACATCCACAGTACCACAACCAATTGTTCGGGATCCACGCTGGCAAGCATGTCGATACAAGGCTCAACCGTCGCTCTCAAATGAGCGTGCACCGCTCCGACGAGATGTGAAAATCGATCCATTCCCCAACATCGGGCATCCGAGCTGTAGGATAGCTTATCGGTTCCTGCAGATGAGGGCCCGGTGCGTATATCAGAGGACCAATCCGATGCCACGAACGCCCTCCAGAAACTTCCCGACGATTTCAAAGTCCACCCTTGTGCATTGGGGAACCTCATGCCCCCTTGGATGGGCTCTGACTCTTGCCCGGGAACAACCTGGACTTTGCTCTACGGAGCCCTCGCGCTGGACCCAGTCGCTTCCCTCGAAACACTCGTGGCATGAAAGGAACTGCCCTGACGGGACCGGATATCGGGCATGTGGAAAGAGGGGTGACCTAAATGGGGGGAAAAACTGCCCTGAAGGGGCCCTTTAAGGGCTCCTCTTGGAGCCAGCAGGGTCCCAAAAGGGGCCCTAAAGGGCCCCTTTAGGGCCAACTTTATTCACCCCACGTTGGGGTCACCCCCCATTGCCACCCGCCCGAGGCTCCCAGGAGGCTTTTCCCCATGACATGTTTTTCATCCTGGATCGATCCTGGTAGCCCCGAAGCCCGTGGAGGGCCCAGGGGGGCCAACCACAGAGGTAAACACCGAAGATCGGGTTCCCGCGGGACGCCTGTCCTTCCTGGCGACATTCACGGGGCTCCCAGGGGGCAAGCCGGCACCAGGAAAAGCGAAGCCCTACCTCCCCTTACCAGGCGTCCGAGTGTGCTGCCCCCAGTGGCAATGCACTAACTCGCTGGCCACCGGCGCCCAACTGCGCGGGGCACCGCCTACCCGCGCAACCAGATTGGGTGGGTCCCAGCGTATACATCGAGCCATCTGGCCGGCAAAAGATCTGGGACGCTGGTCTATACACCGAGTTCATTCACCGAGTCCATTGGCGACACCTTGGCCGACCACACTGCGTGGTGTATACATCGAGCCCTTCCGACGGATACAGCCGATCGGGACGCTCCGCTGCTTGGCGGCGTTTCGCGCGTCTGGTTGAGACTGCCATTCACGCCTTTCTGCTCTGTAAGCGCGTCTGCTCTTGCGCGCGCGAGCCAAATACTGCCGCTGCTGCGTACTCGCCTCCTGCAATGCCAAGCGCCGTTATGATCACTGCATGCCGAAGCCTTACTGATAATGACACAGCGATGAAGAGAGACAAGTGGCGCGGGTTCCAGACACTGCAACCATGGCATGGCAATGTGTCCGAGAAAAACGCCCAAATAATATACAACAAAACTGCCTGCGCAGGTTCGTCGGCCTACTGGTGCCTTCCGCAAAGTACACTGAGACGTTGCGATGCTGGGCACGTCCACCGATCCTGCGCATTTTCCCATGGTAGTTTTCTAATACCGCAGTCTGTGGAACCGACGCATGACCATAACTCCAATGCGAGCAAGCCGTTTCCATTCACCAGCACTCTTCGGCCAAGAGACTTCGAGTTGCCATCTGGCCCGGACGCACCTGTCTGGGCAATAGCAGTTTCACCGCCTCGCACTGCCCGTTGAACTCTAGCACCTCCAGGGCAGAACGAAGACCATGGAGAACAATGGGAAACGAATCAATATTGCGAGGGTAGGCCGAGAGGGAAAGGAAGCAAGTGACATCTTTTTCTGCAAAGCTTGACATTTCTTTTGTACTGTTCGGTGGTTGGCGTAGGATTTCACCCTTCGGGGAGGGCCCACTCGAACCTCCGTAACCCCACAGACGGTTGAGGAGGATGAGGGGGAGGAGGATGCCTAGCCACTGGCAGTGAGACGTCTGCAAATCTGGAAAATTCTTCCGCTGCTGACTGCGAGGCCCAATTGCGCATTCCGCAATTCGCCTCTGTACGCATGCGGACCTCGCAAAGATGTCTTCGCTACATGCGCCCGTGCTCAAGTTACCCCGCCCTTCACTTCACAGATCCCAGGCCTCGCCAGGACCAGAAGAGAACCAGACGCAATCAGGGGTATCGTATGCAAGCCACATCCGCGCACCCTGTCACGTGTACAGGCAGAATTGATTGAATAAGACACGCGACAGAACACACGACTCTTTCGCCAACAACATGGCCTTAAAAACCACAGGACACAAGGGTAAGCTTGCCCCGGGACTGCAGTGGACACCACGCGCGATGCAAAGGACACAAGGTTGCCCTTGATTTGGCAAGGTCGAACTACTCATCTGGGCCGACTGCACGCGTCTGTCGGCAAATAACATCTGAACACGCGTGCGTGTACAGCCCTCGTGCCACCGTGACGAACGCGTGATACAGAAAGAACGAGGGGGCAATTCTGGCCACAGCGGGCCGACGCCACAAACGGGTCCTACGACGCAGACCCGAAGAACGACCCGAAACCCCGAGCCCCTCCTGAACCCACCGCGGGTTCATTTTCAACGTGTTGACTGTACATTCGCATCTGCGTGGGCACGGGAGGAGGGCGGAGGAGGAGGCGAAGCAGGAGGCGGAGGAGGAGGAGGGGAAAGGGGAGGGGGAAGGGGAGGGGACTATGACAAGCTAGGTGCGCTCGCGTCATATCTGACGTCCTACCCCTTCCTCCCATCCCTTACCATGGCGCAGATCTCCTGCCTACTCGCACAATCGGATGTCGCAGCATGGCATAGCATTACATGGCATAGCACGGTGTTGAATGTTAACGCGTAGCATGACATAGCATGGCTTGGCGACGCCCCAAAATGAGGGGGAGGGGCTTCTGCGGTCCAACAAATCAAAGAATCGGCACCGAATGTGTGATCACTTCCGATGGTTCCTTCGGGAGGCAATTTTTTAGACTTCGGGGCCTATTTTGAAGGACCGAACGCCATGCAGTGGCACGGCACTGGAAATAATGACGCCAACGCTGCAGCGGGAACACAATTCGGAACGACTGGAAGCGCGCAAATGAGGCCAGCGCTGAAGCGGGAGCACGATGCGGAACGACTGGTAGCCCGAAAACGAAACCAGCGCTTAAGCGAGAGCAGCATTTTGAAAAAACAAGCGCGGAAACGTGGAAATGAGGACGCGTAACCTGACATAGCATGGCGTGGCGACGCCTCCAAAGTGGGGGGCTTCTGCGGCCCAGAAAATCAACGAATCGACACCGAATGTGGAATCACGTTCGATTGTTTTTTCGGGCGGGCATTGTCTAGATTTGCGGGCCACTTGGAAGGACCGAAAACCATGCCGCTGCATTGCTCTGGAATTAATGACGCCAACGCTGCAGCGGGAGCATGATTCGGACCGAGTGGAAGCGCGGAGATGAGGCCAACGCTGCAGCGGGAGCACGATTCGGAACGACCGGTAGCCCGAAAACGAAGCCAGCGCTTCATCGAGAGCAGCCGTTTGGAAAAACCGAAGCGCGGAAGCGCGGAAATGAGGACGCGTAGCCTGACATAGCATGGCGTGGCGACGCCCCAGAGTCGGGGGGGGGGGGGGGGCTTCTGCGGCCCAGAAAACCAACGAGTCGACAGCGAATGTGGAAGCACTTCGGACGGTTTTTTCGGGGAAGCACTTTCTAGATTTTGGGACCAAATTGGAAGGATCAAAAACCATGCCGTGGCATGGCGCTGGGAATACTGACGCCAACGCTGCAGCGGGAGAACGATTCGAAACGACCGGACGCGCGCAAATGAGGCCATCGCTGCAGCGGGAGCACGATTCGGAACGAGCGGTGGCCCGAAAATGAAGCCAACGCTTTAGCTTTGGAGTCCCGGAACGGTGCGGTGACGGACCGTGCGGTGACCTCGAATTCCCCCAAGACCTGACAGCACGGTCCGTCACCGCACGGTCTTGGGACCCCGCAGGCCCGTCGCCCGAGACGTCCTCAAAAAGGGACTCGAGTCCCAACACCGTGCGGTGACCCCGAATCCCCACCGACTCACCGCACGGTGTGGGCCCCCGATCAGTGAAACCCAAGCGAAAACCCGTTTCCGGGACCAGAGCGCGGAGGGGGGCCGGCCATTTCCCGAACGCCACCAGGGGAGAGAGAAGAGTAGTATTCATATTGTTTTACTGTAAACAAATGTAATGGAAATGGCGCCTTTTGCAAAGCGCGGACGAATACGAGGACTGCTGAATACGCGTTTAATGCGGGCGCGGAAGCTGGCCAGCTTCTGTGCCCGGAGCCAAATGGCCGCGGACAGGGAGAACAGCAGACAAGGCAAAGGGCAGTGATGTATACGAGACCTACCGCGCGAGTCTGGTGCTCAAGCGAGTCTGCATGTGCCCTGTCGGTGACAGCACGCAAACCGTACCGAAACCAACGAGGCCTCATAAACAGTTGCCACGATGGGGCACGTCGCCTGTTTCGGCAACTCCCGTAGATGACGGCCTTCACTCCGCCCCGAGGCACATGGCCACCCACGGCGCCAATCGCAGACACGGCGCAAGTGGAAAGGGTGGAGTTACTCCCGACAATGTCCATGCTAATTCAGGAGGAAGGGTGGGGCAGACAATTGCAGGAACGCAGTAAGATGATTCAAATGCTGCGCGCCAGAAATCTGCTGCCCCGCGAACGCAGCTCTCAGAAACAACCCCTCCTTGCACGACTCACTAGTCGCAATTGTGAACGTAGTTCGCCTATGCGGGCGTTATATCACATGTCCTGCTACGTCGCATTCGCGAAAATAACTCACGCTATGCGGCTGTCTTTGCCTCTCACTATGTCGCAATCGCGAGCGCAGTCCGGGACATGCGACCGCCCGTGTAACGTCCTGCAGCCGAAATACATGTAGCGACGCTTCCGGCTACTCATCCCGTCGGCGAAACGTTCTCCTCATCCGCCCTGAAGTCGCTGTCGCGGGAACTGGGCACGGTCTTCTTGCGCCTCTCGCCGTTCAGTCTGACCGTGGCGTGGTCGCACTTGAGCTTCCCGCGAATCACGTCCAATATCAGCTGTCGGCCGATACTCTCAATACGGAGCTGGTCGGAGAGCCACCGCCCGTGCTCTGAAGGTGGACGCATAGGATCCATGGCAATGGCCGCGAAGACCGACATCCCGTCCACGACCAGGGTTGCCGGCATGGCGCAGCCTTTCTCCTCCCTCAGTTCCCTGATCTCCTCGGCTGAGACTGGGCCCCCGATCATTTCGTGGAGCGCGAGGAAGTGGGCCTGCAGCCCGTCAGCTGCGCCGCGTGCTGCGAGCATCTCGGAGCCGAATGGAGACAAACACGCAATGTTCTGTGATCGGCTCACGGCATCGTGCAGGTGGTAAACCTCCGTGCTGGTGCTGCGGTACTTGCCGATGCGGATGTAGACGGTGTCCCTCGCGCCGTGCCCCGTCTCCTCCTCCCGCATGAAAAAAACCCGTCGCAGCGCGCAGATCTGGCCAGCGCATTTTACGGCAGGAAAGGCGACGCGCGCCTTGATCTTCTGCATGGCGCAGACCGCATAATTGAGCTGCATGGCGCGTCGCATCAGCAGCTTGTTGTTGGCCCGGCGCAGCGCCGCAATGCGAGCTGCGAAGTGGTGCTGGGCGGGCAGGGCACAAGCAGCTGCTCCAAGCAATGAAACGAAGAGGTCGGGTAGTTGACATCCTGCGGGCCCGTCGGCCCTCGATTGCAACAGGTCGACGTGCCTGGTCGGCATCGGGGCGCCGATGCACTCGTCCTGGTCGAGCGTCACGGCGCCGTCGGGGCTGCGGTGTCGGTTGGCGCCGGAATTGGTGAAGTCGCCGCATCCCCCCGTCATCTTGCCGAAGACGCTCTAGATGTGGCGGGTGACCTTATCGACGCGATTCCTTTGTCCAGTGGTATTCGGACCGTCAACGCGATTGGACAACGCGGCCGCAAACTTTGACTCGCCGGCAACGCAGTCGCTGGACGCCTCGCGCATGACCTCGAACTCTGGGCCCGACCTGGCGGGCTTGGCGCCGCGCTCTGGCGAGCGCGCGACCTGGGGGAATTTCACGGAGAAGGCTCGGCTCGCGGGTGCGTCCTTGCAGCCCGTGCCTGTTCGGATGCAGCGCAGGCGCTCGGCCCTCTCATCGCAATTGGGCGCCTGCATGAGGATGGGCAGCAGAGTGGAGTTCACCTCGCCTGGTGCTTCATTTCGTTCCTTCATCTCGGGACGAATCATGCCCCGCGGGAATACCTTCTCGACGTCCGCGGCGACGAAGACCCAGTTCGGGCGGCGCGCCGCCTCCAAGGACAGCGCGCGCTGTGACGCGCGCGCGGCTGCCCCCGCGAGCGTCCCTGGCGCGCCGGCGTCCATGCCGCGGAGCCTCAGAGCGCCGCGCGACGCCCGATGATCCGCGTTCTCTTGCCGTCGGGGCCCTTCCGGTGCTTCCACTTGAAGACGTGACCGGAGACCATGATTTTTCGCGCGCCCTCGAGTGGTCGCCGTTCGGAACATTTGCATCGATGGTGAGCTCCTCGAGAATGGCCGCGGTCGCCTCTATGGTGGACACCTCTTCCTCTGCCAGAAGATCGGCGTCACGCTTGATGGCTGCGGTCTCGACGGCGGCGCGCGCGTTGAGCGCGGCTGTGCAGGAAGCGCCTGCAATGCAGTTGGTGGGCGTCTCCTCGCTGAAGCTCAG